AATTTGAAAATATGTCACATTGGTTCGAGGAAAAGCTGTATTTGTTCATGCTTATGTCAAGATAGATGAGGGAATTGCTGGCAAACGCCATCGGTAAAATCGATCGCATATTCAGCTGATGCCTTAACATAACATGTTGCAATTTGGGCATGTATTTAAACATGTTGCCTGGTAGAATTTGGATTAAATTCCATCCTAAGTCTAACTTTTTGGCACCTTTTAAGGCTATTAAATCAGTAGGTGTGACATAGTTAATGTTATTTTTACCCAAGCTTAATTCAAACAGATTTGGGAAGAATGGATGAGTTTCATTTCCAAAGTTTGGAATTTTGTTCAGGTGGTTATTACGTAAATCTAACCAGCGTAGATTCCTCAAACCAGCAAACGTATCAGTCTCTACAGTTTGTAGACCATTTCCTCGAAAAAGGAGGGTTCTCAAATTGGTCAGATCTGCGAAAATGGAACCTGGAAGAGTGGTGATGCCATTATTGTGCAAGCCCAACTTTGTAAGATTGCTACCTTTGAGGCAACGGAAAAGAGACCTGTTTAGTGTTTTGGTTCTAGAGAGTTTTTTCAATTTGCTTATTGAAAGTACTTGTATTGTTTTAGATGTATAACAGAACACTGGCTCCAGAATATCCAGAGGTAATCTAGTGTTTTCCGTCAGATTTATGAAACGTATGTTGATCAAAGGTTGAAAGGCAGCAATGTCTATGTCAGTCAGATGGTTGCTGCCCAGCGACAGATTTTTCAGTTGAGAAAGGCCTGCAAAAGAATCGTTTTGCAAAGTGACTATCCGGTTGCCGGTGAGGAACAGAGACAAGGTCGCATTGTCGCACTTGGGGACCTGGGTCAGGTTCAAATAATTACAATTCACCTTTCGACGGTCATGATCGCATCGACATCCTTGTGGACAGTAGAAAGCTTCAACCGTCCAGTTGCTTAGCATAAAGATAACCAGTACCGCAACTGCTGTCTTCATGTCGGAACAAACCTGCAGATGAAAACAACGGCATGTATTTCTCATATTTTTCAACGTATATGTTAAATATTTAGAAGATTCAGTCCCAAGCTCTAGTAACCCTGTCCTTGTGAAGGCCTTAACCAAACAGGTACAATATTCGTGCACCTCTAGCAACGACACTGATGAAATGTTTAGTGAATATTATCCCACGGTATCTTAACTCCAATAACACTATGGTATGGCTTGATTATTTATCTGTTTCTACAAGTATATCCAAGATTCTGATCAGGAAAATCACGATTTCATGCATACCATGTTGTGTCAAAAAAAATTCTCGAGCTCAAGGGCGGATCAAGGATTGTTTGAAGGGGGCAACGGAACGACAGAGCTCGGATGCGAAGCCGACTATCGCCCCTTTTGTGGGTTTAGGGTGAAGGGCCCCGTAAATTCTTTGGGGTTTTGGAGAGCAAACGGTACCCTTTGGTACGGTTTAGAACTATGATTTAGTTAGTTAAAATTCTTATTTCAAGAGGGGGAATATCGGAGTGATATGTTTTTCAGAAACCGAAGGGGGAGGGGATCAGGACCTCCTGACCCCCTCTAAATCCGCCACTGAACAGACATGGATTTGGAATCTATATTCAATAAGACCTACATAGATGAGAAAACATTTCAAAATCGATAATCCTTTTGAAATTTATTTGGTTTGGCAAAAGATACGGTACGCGCAAGAAAAGTCCGTATCATCTCTTAACACATATCAGTACGAGACAAAAGCAACACAATTAAGGCTGTGAATAAAGGTAAAAAAATACAAAGAAATTTCATATAGAATGTCCAAGACGACCTTTTTGTATAAAAAATGCCACCATGGATTATAAGTATATACTAATTTCTATAATCTTTCACAATTTAGCATAATTGAGTAAAGTTGAATACTAGTGTGTGCTTCCTGGCGGCACTAAATACTGTTGAAGATACAAGACAGTGTCGGCAAAAGGAAAAAAAACGTTCTAAAGTCAAACAATGACTGGTATTTGAAAAGCCTGTGTAATTGACCGCAACCAGTGGCCTATATATAGATATTTACTCCAGTGATGCAGCTATGAGTGGCAGTGTGTATATTATTATCTACCGGTAGAAGTGGAGTGTTTGCGTTCACAACAGCCAAAGATATCCACGTTACATCCTCATTTGCTTCCTGGTTAAGATTTGCTTCCTAGGCTCATATAAACATAAAATTCATTAACAGTTACAAAAACATGAAGGTATTATACAATAATATATTAAGTATGATTGGCAGTATAATGCATGCCTTGGAAGTTAGGTTCGTTTATTAATTCCTACGCATGATTGAAAAAACATGGGGGGTCACAATGGAGAAAACTAGACACGCCGAGCTACATGTCCCAGCGGGCAAATTATGTTGTTTTAACGTAGAAACAACATTGAACCTTAACGTTGAAAATACGTTGGATTAACATTGGATTTGAAAGTTGACTCAACGTCAGATAACAACATTGTATCAACCCCAGTTGTTAGACATTCTTGCATGAAAAGACATTAAAATGACCTGAAATGTTTTTATTTTTGGTACAAAACACAGGTACACAATTATAACGTGCACTGTAAAAACATCCAAGTGCCTGCTTTGTCTGATTTTTTCAACGCATTTAGCTCCTAAGCGTGGTGCACCCTTTTAGCCTGGATGTGTTTAGCAGTAGGACATGTTTGATGGCTAAATATATGTAGGGTATATATGTATGGCCTTTAAGTTACAATTTCCAAGGTTTAGATTAATATATATAGTTATTTTCTTGTATATATATATATATATATATATATATATATATATATATATATATATATATATATAACAAAGTCACAGTCACCTCAACCTGTCTATCTATAACAGGGTACCGAGAACTGTCAACTTTATTAACTTCACTCCATCACATTTACAGCAACTTATTCATTTATTATTTCTGAATAACAAGTTAAGAAAATTCACTGGTTCACTAAAGACACAAAACAACTGTCACTCTTACTTTAAAACACTTTTTTTATTATTTTGATAAAGTTAGTTATGATAAAGTATTGATAAACAAAGCATCACGTTTTCAATAATTAATATTTTAAATTACAATCCATGCCTGCAAGGTTGTGTCAATGACCAAAATACAACGTTGAGTCAACGTCACATTATGACGGTGTTTTGACGTGGCTGGATCAACGCTGAATTTACCTTGAATTTAGGTAGATCAACGGCAATTCAACGTACAGGGTATCAACCTGTTTTCAACGTTGATCCAACGCGACTATGTCTGCTGGGTGTATTACTATTGAATAAATATTTCAAAATAGGTATATATAAAATTGCTTTCGATGGCGCAATCACACACACGCACACAAGCACACACACACACTTTGACAAAAAAAAAACTTTAAAGGTTTAACCTGTGCATTCAAATTGTCGAAGTGAAGTTGACAACAGGAAGCAGTAAGACAGAATAACCTTAATTAATATAATCTGGATTTATGCTACAAACTTAATAATCACGAAAACCTCTCACCTTTAATTGTGCCTCTAGGTATTGTAAACTATATTGCAGCACGTTTTCTCTTTCAGGGAGAGTTTTTAAAAAATTAGTCTAGCACCTCCACCTTCAAACCGTCGTGACTGAATCGACAGGATCATCCGTGAAGTACAATGCGCGTATCGGGCGTATGGTAGGATGAAAGGGAATGTACCTGTAAGTAGTGACTAAGGTCATAACACTAGGGGGCCTTTAAGATGACCTACATATGACAAGCAAAAAGGAAACAGCACGTGGACCGAAGCGAGATCATGCATTTATTTTTAACGTTTTGACATTGAGAAGCGATTGCCAATATTCATACTTATAGTGTTTGAGAGATATTGATAAATGCGTTTCCCGTCAGATATGGTCCTATTATATGTAATTTATTTGTGCAAAATGCCCTTAAACTGAAACACATTTTTCACCTCCAGTGCAATCGACCTAACCTGTATACTTTATTGCGCTGTTAAAATGCATGTACACACGGTTTCAGTAACCGGTTTATGCATGTTCTCAACAAAAAAATTGCATTTTATTTATTTATTGATTTATTTATTTTATTTATTTATTTGCTCACATCTTGTATGAATACGTATACCTTTTTGACCTGTCCAGATTATTTTTTGCGTTTTTTTTTTTTTTTTTTTTTTTTTTTTTTTTTTTTTTTTTTTTTTTTTTTTTTTTTTTTTTTTTTTTTTTTTTTTTTTTTGTTCTTCTAGCAGGTAAATATGGAAGTTTTATACTGAGAGAGGGCGTAAAGCTTATAAGCTCTTCTGTAAAGCGTGTTTTTGCATGACAAATGCATATTACTGCCTAGATGACAAACAAGTGGTTAATTCACTTCTTATTATCAGTCAAGCTTTATAATACAGACCTGGCCCCGGGCCTGTAATAATCATTATTTTGACATCATTACTCAAGTCTATACAAACAGTACGCGGTGGGTGGGGGGAATTGCCTCTATACGCTTTTGGAAAACTAATAAAATTATGATATTCACCCCCAGGCTGTGCTGGAAATGGTTATCATCATGCACCCGAAGGCCTGAAGAGGTTAATTCTTTCATTTGTACACTTGTGAAAATAATGATACAATGGATGAACCCTGACATAAGCGATTACCATTGGCAATCCTGTATCCCTACTTTTTCCACCATTTTTTTTCTTTTTTTGCCAACTTTCAGATACCAAGTTGCACTGTTAAAACGGTAGTGTAAAGATAACAAAAGGATTGTAACAATTTCTCGGAGTCGTCTCCTGTGGCTGCCGTCACAACCAGTTGATCTGCGGACTAACTAGTCCGCGGATCAAACATGGCGCGCACTTTACAATGGATTCCTGCCTCCCACGGTCCCAGGAGGGAAATTAAACGATAATTATTATCCCCTAGCAGCTTCAGTAGGCGTGACAGACATCTAAGCCGCTTCAGCTGATTGCAATTTAGTGAGAATCACCTTGGATATAGATCGATCCACAGTTTGTACGATAGGGTCTGGGAATGGCCACTTAATTACAGGTACGACAATATAAGAATTAGGTGCACTAGTAATTTTCTATTCAAATGAATCTGAATTATTGGTATGACAGCACCCAGGGGATCGTACAAAGCAATTTGTAAAGAAGTCCACTCTTAAAACAATATATATAATCCTGTTATACTAAATCAATGTATTCCAAGATACGTAATGATACATTATACTGTATATAACAATACATACATGTAATATAAATTCTATATGCATGATACATAGCAATATTTTAAATGATATATAACAATATATAACAATATTCCAAAATTGAATACACTATACATTTTTGCCTTTTTGTCATTTAAATCATTCTAAAAGCAGTAAGATAAAACTGTTGATTAGTTCATTAATTACAGTATTTAAAGTTATACTTGATTCGCTTGGTTCATTTCTAGGGCCATGCAAAGTTTCTTAAAACTGGATGTGAAATATCATTATAGCGTTCCATGCCCATACGGTTTTTGGAGAGCTGCCTTCACTCTTTCCCAGAAGAGGTCTTGACCTTCTTCCTCGCGAGGCCACTCTATGTAGGTCTGCTTCCTTAGCAACAGGGTCAGTCTGTTGCTGAGGTTCTCAGGTTTAATGTCCTCGAGCAATATCAAGACCAGGATATCCTTGTTCTCATCAAATAGCTTGTGATGAGCCATCGTCATTTCCAATTGGCACCATTGACTCTGAGCAAAGTTGTTGGACAACACGAGAATCGTCTTTCTACTGACCTCTAAAGCGTCCACGATGTTATCCAAGATGTCATGGCCTACGATGAAATCTCTGTCGTGAAGACAAAGTTTGAAACCAGCGTCATGTTCCAATTTCGGGAGAAGTCTTTGTATAACCCAATGGCGATCGTAGGAGTTGTAGGACACAAATGCGTCGAATACGAAGGTACCGTTATTTTCAAACGGTTCGAGGCGTTTGTAACGTGAACGCAGTGTAAAGCACCAGTAGCGTATGTACCATCGATAACGGTGGGACACCACTATCACGAGTGCCAGAAATAACATTGCAGAGACTCCGGTGGCGCTGGCTATGACCCATGCTGGCAGCGGCGTGCACTGGGCTTTGGTTGGATGCCAATCTAGAAACGGAGATTTAGCTAATTCCTTTGGCTCATAACAACGGTATGAGTTACGTTGATGAAGGGCCACAATCGTTGTTTGGGTTGTGTCCATCCAAGTACGGAACCAAAAATTATCGCACGTGCAAGAAAAAAGATTTTCTGCAAGGCTAATTTTTGTAAGGTTTTTCCAAACGAACGGTGGCAACGATGACTCGTATATGGTACGAATTAGGTTATTTTCCAAATATAGCATTTGCAATGAAAACAGAGATTGAAAAACGACTGGATCCAACGACGACAACTGGTTTGACCCAAGTTGTAGCTCACGGAGGAACGGTTTGGTCTCAAACAATTTGGGTGGAAGATGAGTCAATCGTGTCTGGCTAATGATGAGTTTTCTCAGTTTTGTAAGGTTTCTAAATAACTTTTCCAGTGCGGAATCGTCGAACTTATCTAGATGGTTGTCGGACATGTACAGCTCTTGCAAATGTGGGGCATGAGAAAAAACGTCCGAATTTGCATCATTGAATTGAAAGTTGTTGATACTGATATCGAGATGAAAAAGAGAAGCACTTGCAAATGCCAGATCCTGAATTTCTTTCAAGTTTCGTTGATGCTGTAAAAAGGCGAATTGTAATTCAGGCATGTATCCAAACATATTATTTGGGAATTTTGTTAATAGATTCCAACCAATATCCAGCCTTTTTAAGTATTTAAGGGAAATGAAATCAGCAGAGTTGAGAGAGCTGATGTCATTATAGGCAAGATGTAATTCAAGCAAATTGGGACAAAACGGATGCGTCACATTTCCAAAGTTTGGGATTTGACTCAAGTGATTGTTTCGTAAATCTAGCAACCGTAGATTATTCAAGCCAACAAATGTTTCCTTCCTAAAGGCAATATGATTATCACGTAAAATCAGATTTTGCAATTTTGTCAATCCTGAAAAAAAGGAGACAGGAAGCGTGTGTAAACTGTTATAGCTAAGGTCCAATTCTGTGATATCGCTGCCATTAAGGCAAAGGAAGAGGGAACTTCTCGGAGTTTGGAATTCGGTAGTCTTTGTTCCTTTGTATCTATTCAGGCAGAGTCGCTGTATTGTTTTAGATACATGGCAAAAAGCCGACTCCAGATTATCTAGAGACAGCAGTTTCCCTTTCAGATCTATAGAGAGAATATTCTCCAAAGGCTCGAATGCCCCTTTTTCAACATGTGACAGTGTGTTACTACTCAGCGTCAAATTTTCCAGTTCCGACAGTCCTGCAAAGGAATCGTTTCGCAAAGAAGATATCCAAACGTCGTTCAGAACCAAAATTAACGTCGTATTATCACAATGTGGAACTTGCGTCGAATTCAAATTATGGCATTCCACCTGACGAAGAGATGATTTGCAGTGGCATCTTGGCGGACAGTAAAACCCTGCAGCACCTGTAAGCGTCAACACGAATGCCACTATTGCAGTATTGATTGTCATGGCAGGTAGATCCTAAAGGTAAAAAAAGAGTCACTCTGATTTTTGTTAGTACATTCTTTAAGGCGGTGATTCTTATAGTCACTGAAAAAAAATGCAAAATAAATATGCCAAAATTTTATACCACCCTACATGAACTGATCCACACGAAAACCACATTGTATGCGCTTTAATTACTAAAGAGGGGTTCGGAATGAATAACATATCCCCCAACATACTGTTATTTATCAGTGCCGCACCACATCACCTGAGAGCTGGGCTATCATCAAAGATTCAAGGAAACAGGCAGGTAGGAAGCAGGCATGTGAGGATAAGGTTGTTTTAATTGTCTTATGAAAGTGCTCATCAGATTTCATCATCTTAACTGCAACCAGCTGTTAATGAAAAATACATATGGGGAAGTATCGTGTAAGTGACTTCTACCAGTGACCTATAGCTACATGTACCTACAGGTAGCCCCATCTAGTCCAGTGATGCAGCTTATACAGTTTGCATGCACCGGTGTAACGTGGCAGTGTCCCCCATGATATAGTCCACTACCCATTCATTTGTATAGGTAAGCCTCGTCCTGGATTTTGACTCACTTTTAGGTCAGGCTAACCCTAAACAATTATAACTAAATGGAGGGCGAATTTATTTATTTTTTATTTTTTATTTTTATTTTTTATTTTTTTTTTTTTATTATTTTTTTTATTATTTTTATTTTTTTTTGCTACACAGACCCTCAGTTTCGTTACACCTGCACAAGTGTTTGCAAATCTGCAAACTATTATAACAGTGTGACAGGAATGGTAGTTCTAGGAATGGAAGTCCTGGGCCCCATATGGTGGTACAAGTTAGGGGTTAATTAGAGTATTGGGTTATATGGTATGAATATCACCTGTACAAATTGATGGAGAAAGTGCCAAGAGTGCTAGAATACGTCACGTGACATTTCAAATTTAATAGTCAGAAGTACCTCTTACCTTTTATTGTTGCATCTAGATGTAATACCTGGCACTCTTTATCCTTCACGTAGACGATGGGGAGCATTTTTATAACAGCCAAGCGCCTTCATGACCCAACTGCCATGACTAGATCTACAGGAGCATTAAGGAAGTACCTCAGTTGCTATGTGCGTGCTGTTGATAAAGGAGAAAGGGAACGTAAATAGGACACCAGAGGCTGAGTCATTTCATAATACCAGAGGCTCATGTAATGACCTACATATGGCAAGCAAAAGAGAGACATGTGTGGATGAGCCCTGGCGAGTTCATAGTGTATTTTAATAACATGCTCATGATAAAGCACATTTAACCAATTAATTGGTAAATGTATTTCCAACCAGTTAAGGACCTATTATATGGTAATTCATATGTACAAAATATCCTTGAACCGGTGCGTGTAACCAACCAGGCCTGGATGCCTTTTGTGCTAAAATGTACATCTGGTTACAGTTTATGTTATGGGCTTACGTTCGTAACAAGTGATGCATTCTTGTGGGTGTTAGATTTCCACTTGTATGCCAAACACTGTAGCTGAAGACATCTGATTTTTCCAGATTATGTGTACTTATATCAGATAACGAGGAAGTTGTTGATTGTCTATTCCCTGGCACTTGTCATCCTTCACGTGGAGAATGGGAGGGTTAATAAAAATTGTCAAACTCTTTCAAAATCCAACCATCATTGCTAAATCTATAAGAAAAATGAGGGAGTGACTCACACGTTTAAATACATTGTGCTGATAAAGAGAAAGCGGATGTAAACATTGCGAAAGAGGCTGAGTCAATTTAAAATACTAGGGACTCATGTAATCACCTACATGTACATATTGGTATCAAGCTTTTAGAAATTAGCAGTGGTGAAATGTTATTTGAAAATGGAAATTTTCTGGCAATCACGCATACAGGGTAAGACAATGGAATGAAAACAAAGAAATGCGCGATCGGTATGGAGAAAGAGATTACATGTACTCTCGAATCTGTTAGAAAAATTAGTCAGAAATAATGTTTGAAAGTTCCAAACTGTCGTCGTCATCACCACAATAACTTCTGTACAAAATGACTAAGAACTAAGACTGCATTCCCACAACCTCATCGTACCAGCAGGATCGATCTATCTCAGCGGGGATTATCGCTAATGCACAGTCAGTGTAATAAGGTAAACTGTCTGGCACGTCCCTCGCAAAGCAAAATGAACAACATCATGGACCATAAAGTTTTCTCGGCTTTACCCAAGTACTTCAAGTTACAAGGGAGCGTGCCATACATTTAAGCTGTTTAAACTGAATGCAATTTATGCGAGAACCCCGAGGAGTTAGATCGATCCAGCTAGTACGATAGGGTTAAAGGAATGGTCCCTAAAACACAATCAGCACCGCCAGTGCAATCGATCCGACCTGCATACCTCATTGTGCTGTTGATCTACATGTGCAGATCTGGGCCCCATAACACGAACGCATCTCGTATTGCGAATAGCGATATCACATAGAGGCTACAATGTTATTATATGGGACGAGTATGGGCGATTTATGATATGGAGACGCTTTCGCTCGGTCGCAATGCGCGATGCTTTCGAGTTACTGTTATGGGTTTACGTTCGGTATAATATGATGCATTGTTTACAAGTATTAGGTGTTCATTTACGTGTCTAACACCATGTATTAACACCATTAAATCAGATTGAGAATAATTTGTGTTTTTGTCGATAAATAAGGAAGTTATTGACTGAGAGTAGTGTATAAAATATGCTGTAACGATTTTCTTTGCTTGCATATTGACAAGGTGTTTACTCCTTTCTAAATGACGAACAGGTGGTCCATTTACCTCTTATTAACAGAGAACAAAAAATTTGCCAAAAAAGCCCGGGCCAGTAACAGATAGGCTGTTTTAAAACGCCCGTTATTATCAGTCCCGTATATCTTTTTTCCCATTTTTATCCAATTTTCAGGTTGGGATGTGATTGGGTTTCAAGCCGACTGTTTTCCATTCATGACAGATTCATAGTTTTCAGTAAATTTTGAAAACATTTATACAATCACCGATACTAATTTGATTCTATATTCTGGTAATGATACCGATTCGTCCAGATATATTTGATACTTGATTGCAGACTTAATTCGACGTGTTTAATATTTTTGCCACGGCATGATGTAGCCAAATAGTACGCGCGCGCCAACTTATAGTTTCAAATGGTATATCTAAGAGAAAAACCATCGTTTCATATTACCCGAAAATAACATTAGAATGGATGTTGTCTATTTCCTTTCTGTACTAAACCGGGGCAAATGAGTAGGTCAGGTACGTAGTTCAATGTGCGACCACAAACTTGAAAAAGGTGCAGTTTTAAAGCTCTTTCATGGTTGATCTATTCATTGGGTTTATCAACTTTAATTATAGCCGTATTAGAAACTATAGAAAAGTGGTTCGAATGTATTACTGGGAAACCACGCTCGCTTTGATTGTAACTTTTAAGTAAAGTTTGAAACAATATTTTGCAGTCGTTTTCTGTATTAGTCGGTTGTTATATTCTAGTGAAAGGGAAATACTTATTTTACAATATACAGGAGATCGTGGGACATCGTTTGTAGAGATGTATGTTTTAACATTGTTTAATAATAATAATAATAATAATAATTTATTTGCTAAAATCGCAACCTAAAGGTTGAAAGTTACAATGTGTCTTAAATAGTAAAATCATAAGGTATTTTAAAATTAACTAAAAATTATAAACTAAAGAACCAAAGCTTTAAAACAAGACTTATAAGACAGTTTGAAGCAGTAATTTACATAAAATTTAAAAGACTGTGCATTATAAAAGATGATTTAAAACGCTCCGTTTTCACTTTTGGTATTAAAAATTTGTTGCTGACCCTGAGATTTCTTGGGTTCTTTTGTTTAAACAGATGGTGTAGCTTATTAAAATTCTTGATTTTTGTAAAAAAAAGTTCTTAAATAAAACGTCTCTTCTCTCCCTCAGAGAGGTGAGATTACTAGCCTGTAGGGAATCCTTGTAAGTATAAAATGGGTAAATAATTCTAAGAGCTCTCCTTTGAACAGATTCTAAGCATTCACATTGTTCGGCTGTAAGACCAGGCCCCCACAACAATATATGTCATCCTTAATTAATTACCTCAATGTATTTCATAATATAACAAAACCAACAACCATCGATGTAAGAAGTAACTCAACTTTTTTGTCTTTTTCCCATTTAAATCAATCAATATGAGAGAAAGATTTGTCAGATTCTTTCATGATTTAACGTTATATTTAATTCATTAGATCGATTCTTATGGTCGTGCCTCCTTAGAGTGCATTTCAAATTCACCATTATAGCGTTCCATAACCAGAAGGTTTTTGGAGAGCCGCCTTCACTCTTTCCCAGAAGAGGTCTTGACCTTCTTCCTCGCTAGGCCACTCTATATAGGTCTGCTTTCGTAGCAGCAGGGTCAGTCTGTTGCTGAGGTTCTCAGGTTTGATATCTCCCAGCAATATCAAGACCAGGATATCTTTGTTCTCATCAAATAGCTTGTGCTGAGCCATCGTCATTTCCAATTGGCACCATTGGCTTTGAGCAAAGTTGTTGGACAACACGAGGATCGTCTTTCTGCTGACGTCTATACCGTCTACAATGTTGTCCACGATGTCATGGCCTACGATGAAATCTCTGTCGTGAAGACAAAGCTTAAAGCCAGCGTCATATTCCAATTTTGGAAGCAGTCTTTGTATAACCCAGGGACGATCATGGCAGTTGTAAGATACAAATGCGTCGAACACGTAAGTACCGTTATCTTCAAACGGTTCGAGGCGTTTGTACCGGGAACGCAGTGTAAAGCACCAGTAGCGTATGTACCAGCGATATCGGTGTGTTGCCAATGTCACGAGCGCCAGAAATAACATTGCAGAGACTCCGATGGCACTGGCTATGACCCATGCTGGTAGCGGTGTGCATTGGGCTTTGGTAGGGTGCCAATCTAGAAACGGAGATTTTGACAGTTTTTTTGGTTCGTAACAAAGGTAGGCATGAAGCTGTAAAAGTTTTACGTTGGTGGATTGTATCCAATTCCGGAACCATAAATTTTCACATGTGCAGGAAAATGGGTTACCTGCCAAATTAAGGTCCGTTAGATTGTCCCATATAAACTGCGGAAACGACGTTTCATTTAGAATACGAATGTTATTGTGATCCATGAACAGTTTCCTTAATGACAACAGCGGTTGGAATACGATTGGATCCCACGTTGACAGGAAGTTGGATTGCAACTGAAGCTCGCTCATCATTCCGTTGTTAACAAATACGTTGGGAGGCAAGAATGACAAGCCAGTATTTTGTATATACAGTTTTCGTAGTTGTGTGAGATTCCGGAACATTGTCTCTAATGCTGTAGAATTCAAATTATTCAGCTGGTTATTGTGCAGATAAAGATCGTGCAAATTGGGTGACTTGGAGAAAAAGTCGTAAGAGTTCGAGTAAAAGATGTATTTGTTCACACTTATGTCAAGATAGATGAGCGAACTGCTGGCAAACGCCATCGGTAAAATCGATCGCAAATTCCGCTGTTGTTTCAACATAACATGTTGCAATTTAGGCATGTATTTAAACATGTTGTTGGGTAGAATTTGTATTAAATTCCATTCTAAGTCTAACTTCATGACGTTCTTTAGTGCTATAAAATCAATAGGTTTGACCGAATCAATGTTATTATAACCCAAGCTTAATTCAAACAGTTTTGGAAAGAATGGATGCGTTTCATTTCCAAAGTTTGGAATCTTGCTCAGGTGGTTATCCCGTAAATCCAACCAGCGTAGATTACTCAAACCAGCAAAAGTTCCAGTCTCTACAGTATCTAAATTATTTCCTCGTAAAAAGAGTATTCGCAAGTTGGTCAGATCTGTGAAAATGGAGCCTGGAAGTGCGTGAATGCCGTTATTGCTTAAATCCAACTGTGTAAGATTACTATTTCTGAGGCAACGGAAAAGGGAACTCTTTAGTGTTTTGGTTTTGGACAGTTTTTTCAAGTTGTACAGCGACAGTACTTGTATTGTTTTGGATATGTAACAAAACACTGGCGCAAGGCTATCAAGAGGTAATCTCGTATTTCCCGCAAGATTTATCAAACGTATGTTGATCAAGGGTTGAAAGGCAGCAATGTCTATGTCAGTCAGAAGGTTGCTGACCAGCGACACATTTTCCAATTGAGAAAGACCTGTAAAAGACTCGTTCTGCAAAGTGGCTATCCAGTTGTCGATGAGGAACAGAGACAAGGTCGAATTGTCGCACTTTGGGACCTGGGTCAGTTTCAAAGTGTTACATTTTACCACTCGAAGATGGGAATCGCATCGACATCTTGGCGGACAGTAGAAAGCTTCAACCGTCCAGTTATTTATCATAAGGATAACCAGTACCGCAACTGCTGTCCTCATGTCGAAAATAGCCTGCAGATAAAAACAATGCCCACTGTATTTCTTGTATTTTTCAACGTTGCATATTTTGTTATCTACATCATTGCAAATGTTAAACATTTAGAAGATTCAGTTCCAGTCTTTTGTGGCCATGTCATTATAAAGGTAAGCCTATGCCACCAAAATGAACACCGTTAGAACAATAAGCAACCTTATGAAGTTGTGTCAATTCTGAAAAAATGCTCGAGATTATATGATAGCGATTCATTGTACTTCATGTATTTTCCAGACACTTACTCTCCCTAACGTTACCTCTCCGACTCACTTTCTCCCTCCCTTACTCTGTCACTCCTCCCTTCCTCCCTCTCTCACTCTCTCTCTCACACACACACACACACAGACACATCCAAAGTTATTATACGGGATAACTTACAAGAAACCGTTAAACACGCCACTCCTTCATTGACTGTCACCTTGCTATAAGCGAGTTCAGTATACTGTAGAGTATTTATGTCGATCAGTCTGAGTAACTCTGTAAACGCGGATGTCCAAATCCACAGTTTATACGGGCATTTTAAACAAATCGGATGCCTCTTGCGACGACACAGATGAAATGTTGCATAACCCTTATCATGCCTTATCTCCAGTTACTTCACTATTCTAGCGCCATTATTCTAACTATTCTATTTCCTTTTGTACAAGTATGTAAACGAGTCCGATTAGAAAATCTTGATAATACACTATGATCACAAGATTGTGACAATTTAACCCAGACTCGAGCTGAACAGTTGGTCCTGTAATCACCATCTGGTAAGACGAGAGTCTAGAACACATTGGTTTTTTCTAAGACCTGTATGGATAAGTAAATATTTCGAAATCAACGATCTTTTCGCTAGATTATTGAGTTTCATAGAAGCAGTTATGAAAAGTACTCGAAAATGCGAGACAAAAGTGAATTAAGCTTGTGAATGCAGGTCAAGAAACCAAAAGCAAATGAATGTCAACTGGCATGTTCAATACTAATTTTGTGTGTTTAAAATGTGGCCATACTTTTGTGAATCCCTGCAATCTTTTTAAAATGTAGTGTAAACGAGTCAGGTTGAATCCATACTAAAGAGTCCTTCTGCAGGACCAGCCCTAATTAATGTAAATGTACGTTGAGTTGTAAATGCAAGACAGTGAACGTGTCAACAAAAGAGGAAATATACAATATTTTTAAAAATGACAAACTTGGACTTGAATTACGTAATTTTTCTTCAGTCAACAGCTTAATATTGAAATAGTTTATCTCCAATTTTTCGATGTCTCACTTTTTTAATTTTGGAGAAACATTATTCTTATAACAAACACAGCTGATGAAATTCTTTTTGAAATTGGAGTTCTTCTTGAACTTGATTTTTGTAGTCCCCGTAGACAGTTTCATTAGCAGAAAACTTCGTTCATTTCAAAAATCATGTTGTCGCATGCTGATACCAAAATAGTTTAACTGGTGGGGTCGTAGAGAAGCCCATGTACAAGGAAAGTTGTAGACTGGGAACGCGCCGGGTAGTCAAGGAGTCCAAGTGTCTATCAAATCACACCACAAGGCTACCCGTTACGCTTATCTCTGTATTGTTTGAACGAGTGCTATATTAGCACTCCTCTTATCTCGTGTCATAAGTTAAGGTCTTGACTTGCTGTGGTCGATCGTGCCTTCATAAGAGGAGGAACAGTTATGATTAGATTGGATAAGAGGGAAATATGTAAGGGTTATCAGTGACTGGGTACATGTACAAATATACTTGAGTAGGTTTCATTTAGATGTGTATTTCACACTGCACATAAACCCCGACTTCAATCTGTGTTGAACACAATTTGTTTCTTCTACATTGCACACGTAAGCCATCTTTCTTTATTTCTTTGATATTTCACTTCGGCTGCTAAATGACTCATTGATGTACTGTATCCGGTTAATGACCCCCGATTCTCTCGCTAACCCCTGAAGAGTAGAGAGTTCTGGCCATTCATTGGAAATGCATGGTGTGAAATGACATAAGGAGTAGTAAGAATCAAAAGGGGAAATGTCCATTGTATATGGTCGGTCCGTTCGTCTCTTAAGAACAATGCACTTGAAAGGGTCCGATGTCTACATCAGTAACAATGACAGCCTGATTAGATGAAACAAGCTTCCTTGTCTAAATTTTGATTAAAGCCAGAATTACTTTATACGATGAGGTAAGAGCGCAAGATAATCATGTGATCGCTAAAGGTAATGAGACATTAAAACTAATCCTGGGATCTTACTAGTACATGTATGTTGAAATGGAGATCACGACATTTTGACCTTATCACAAGGCCTTCACCAGAGGAAATAATTTAGGAGTTTTCACCGGCGTGTACTCGCCGTTTCAACCTTAGTTCCATTAGAAGATTTAATTTCCTCGTTATCTTAGTACGATATAACTGGATTTAAGGATTAAGACTTTAAGGTAATCAACGTTGTGCTGACGACATGTTGGGTTTTGCATATCATTTAAGTGGAAAATAATAAAGGTATACTTATATATTCAAAGATTTATTATTATTATTATTATTATTATTTTCATTATTATTAAAATATATCACCGAGCACTGTGAGATCATTGTTGTCAGGTCTCAAAATGTTTATCTCAGCAAAAGAGTCGCTCTTTTGTAAAAAAAAAAAAAAGCTATGAGATCCTAGAAGCCTCCACCCCAGTCATTTAAATCGCTGAATACAACAACTTGTTTTGAGGACCAGAAGAGAGGCTTTACAAACGCATTTAAGTAAGAATGCATTATTTTAGAAACGGGAGAGTAATACATTATCCTATTAACGTCAGAAATTACCTTCAATTATTACTATTCTCATGTAAAGATCAAACTCAAAAGAAACCACAACAGAACACATTGCGCAGCTTCTCCTGTCATATACACAGCAATCTTTATCATTTTATTGAACATTCAGCTTTCGCCTTACAATCTTTTCAAAACAATCTTTTCCATTAAGATTAAAAATTCCAAAAGGTCATATTCTTGCCAGCCAACATGTCCAAACTGATATATTGTGCTGTGTTTTTGGCAGCTGAATATCAGTGTATATCAGGATCGAACTCCTCAGGGGAAATCTTGTCGTCATTGTTGGCGTCCATCTCTTCGAATTCGGCGTCGATCTCTGCATCAGTTTCGCTCCCATGGTTGCCCAGGGCGCCACCGAACTCCTCGCGGCTTATAAAACCATCTCTGAAATTTGAAACGTCACATCAATCTAAGATCTTAGCATCAATAAACCACAATGTTAAAAATTTAAAGCGTGGTGTAGGATACTTAGATTATGTCACAATTCCATCCCTTATTAAACTTTAAAGAAGTGATTTTTTTTTCATTCCACACAAAATCATTTTGAAGGTTTTTAGTCACACGTCGTTAACTTAAACATCTCACTAAAACGATTCACGAAAGAGACGGAGAAAGATGGTGATTGCTTTTTTTTTTTTAGTCTTCTCTGTTGCAACTGTCAATACATCCATCACAATACCAGAACTATTACAGGTTGATTATTAACAAAATCATATATACATGTATATTTATTTAACATTTTTATTCTCATAGAAGGTTAAATATCAGTTACAGTCTAAATAAAGGTGTCAAGTCGCCGGAGCATTACACGCTCACCTTTGAAATGTCAAGTCATAAATTTAGGTAATGAAAAAAATATTCAACGAAAAGACGAGTAACATAAAGTGACATTTGAGGGGAGGGAGGAACAAGGCATGAGGGGAAGTTGTTTGTGGGAGGCAATAGGCCATCAAGGAAGAGTGGGTAGGTGCCTAGTCATAACTATAGGAGCGGAATTCAGGGCCGTAGCCTCCGGGGGGGGGCAGGGGGGGGGACGGGCCCCCCCCCCCCCCCCC